AGCATTTCACTTCTGCAGCTGTGAAGAGAAACTGCACGTGTCTTTGTCTCGCGAGATTTCCAAGTCTCAAACAGTCAAGCATTCAGAGCACTAGGAGGAATTGAAATAGCACAGGTCTGCGTCGGACTAGCTTATCTCAAACAAGCCAATTACAGGGATGTCTCGTTTTTCTGCATCAGTAATGAAAGATGCTGTAATCAAATAAAATATGCTATTATCACATAAATAAAACATAAAAAGAAGCTGTAATCACATAAAATTTCACACATATTTAAATCAACCAAACTAGAATTTTGCTATAGAACAAACAACAACATTTGGCTCAAAGAAGTTGTTAAACTTTTTACAGTGCATTTGAATATGAAATGGTGCCACATATCAATATTGAGAAAAATGCTGTGATGCTGTAATTATTGCTGGATTCTGTCCACCTTCCTCAGAACAGAGGAGGGATGCCAATCCTCCAAAGAAGTTAAGAGATAAAAAGCACCATAATTGTAGCTACAAGGTTTTTACCAAACACAGATGCCATGTTAGTGTGCCCTTTAGTATTTGTTTGCTTTGGTGCCCAAGGTTGTGCGTCAGATTTTAACATTTCTGTGTGCGTGCGCATGAGGGCATGTGCCTACATCTTAGAGTCTGTTTGTGTGTATCTGGTTCCCAGTGTTTGGAGTGGGCTCTGTTGGGACTGTGTGTAGAGCCTCATTAGTGGCTAAGGTTTGGCCAGACCGCTGCTACTGGAGACTCACTCGGGGGCACAAAGTCATATGTTACTCTACTGCTGCCCCATCTGCCACATTGGCCCTCACTTGAGAGTCTGAGTTTTGTTTCTTTTTCTGTGGAATTGCATTTTTGTAAGCAGTGATGGAAGGTAACTAAATGAATGCATTCAAGCACTTGTACCTTGAACAGGCAGATACAGATATTCATATTATTTAAGATACCTTAACTGCCTCCATGAGCTGCTTGTGACAACTACTGCTAACACTGGGGAGGCGTGCCTGACAGTTTGACAACCTGTCTTGTAGATTAAAGTACCTGGTATATAAAGCAGTTACAATTAGCTCCACCTAACCAACTGGAACATTTAAGTACTGCAGCAAAAATAATGATAATGACTGACTACATTCTGCTTTGCATTCTGACTTGCATTTTGTTGCTACTATTCCATTCTTATACTTAAATGACTAAAATAAGTTTTTAACTGAGAGATTTAATACTGATGCCTCTATATGACCTGCATAAATTAACAAGGCCATCAGCGAGAAACATTGGATTAACATTATAGTCATTCTTAAGTCCTGCTACTGGGTCAGATTTGGTCTGATTTCCCATTGAAGTTAATGAAACAAGGGGGTGGAAACAATACCACTTTTTTCCACAGGGGCCCCCAAAATCAACACAAGAAATGAAAGTTCCTTGTAGCTACTTTAAGTAACATTGTAACGGATGACTTTTACTTATGATGGATTGCTTAATTGTATATTGTTGCTATGTTTACTTGAAGTATTCCTCCACTCCATTTTGAACAACAATCATGCTTCTATGTGCATTCATGTGTGTTTATGGTGTGAAAATTTTGCCACCAGTCAGTCAGTCTAGTCAGGTCAATTACATTGCTCCAGATGATAGGTAAAAATTGGCCGAGCGATGATTCTGCATATCACCTGACTAAACTGTTTTTGT